AGAATGGAGAAGGTCCAACAACCGGCTTCAAGGACAGTTGATGTTCAAAATTGGCTCCGCTCGAAAAATATCAACTTTGAAGAAGCAATGCTGAAAGTACAATTATTAAGAATTGTCAAGATCACAAGGCGGAATATCAAAATACGCCATTGACGAAAGGCAGCAAGTCAAAATAAAACTGTGCTCCGTTTACCTCCATACCATTGCGAGCTCATCCCATTGAGCTCTATGGGCAGAGGTTAACATTAATAGGCTAAGCACAATACAACTTTTTAAAATTTGTGGCCTCAAAGGACTTTTCAAAGAAGCACTAGAATTAATAACAGCGCAAAAATGGGAAAACAGTATTAAGCACGTGAAAGACAAAGTTGAAAAGAGAATGTGGGGAACTGGACAATATTTTAGAGGAACAAGTCGAGCCATTCATTATTGACGTTGGTGCTTCAGGCAGTGCGATGATGAAAGCTCATCTAGCTCATCTTTCCAATAAAAGATGTCGTTCATCAAATTCGGTAAGTTATAAGTAATTATAAAGCTACTGTATTTTTTTAATTAATTATTGACATTTTTGAACCCATTTTGGCAAAACCTATTCAAGAATCTACTTTCTGACAATGTTCAACCATGCACATTTTTTTACGTTTGTTGAACGTTTTAATTTGGTTACATATTTACCTAGAAATCAAAAAAATATACTAATCAATATTCTAAAAACAATTTTAAGAGATATACGATTATATTTAATTTAGGCTAATTTAACGCCATTTTGAGATTATATTCGACTGTATTTCACCAAACATCAGGCGGCATCCGAAGCTGGAAATCGAAGCGAAAATTTGTGAAACCCTTATGTATATTTACATCATTATATATTTCTTAACCCCACCCCCACATGATCCTATATCCATCACCAATCGTATACACATCGAATTGTGCTAATTTACTACAAAGTACGCAAAGCAGCATCTACTATCGTGACTCTTAATACGTCCCTGCCGAATGTTACAGCGTTCGATGATCACGTGGTCTTGTTTATGTCCGGTCTATCTCTTATCTGAATATACTTTAGTTTGAATTTGACTACTGGTGATAGCGGTACGGCCTAGCGTACGTTCATTGTTTACTATTTATTCATTGTGTTTTAAATATAGTATCTAGTAATGTCATCACACACTCAGAAGCGAAAGCACAAAACATTGACAATTAAAGAAAAATGTGATATTTTAGACCGCTTAAATCGCAATGAAACTTTTAGTAGTTTAGTAAGTGAATACGGCGTAGGCCGATCTACAATTTATGACATTAAAAGAAACCACGAGAAGATCCAGAAGTTCGTGTCAACTACTGATTGCGGGCCAGGCAAGAGACAGACACCCAAGAGAGCTGAACATCCAGAAGTGGAAGAAGCTTTGTACATGTGGTTTCTTCAGGAAAGAAATAGGCATGCACCAATTTCAGGACCCATGTTGGCCATGAAAGCTAAGTTTTTTTATAAGGAAATAACAAAAAAAGAAGATTTTGTGGCCAGCAAAGGATGGCTAGAACGTTTTAAAAGTCGTCATGGCATACGTTTAATGACTATTTCAAGAGAGAAACTTTCTAACGATGCCACCTGCATAGAGCCCTTTAAATTAAGATTTTTGCAAATGGTGAACGATTTAAATCTTGACTCGTCACAGGTGTACAATGCAGACGAATCAGGGCTTTTTGGCGTGTGATGCCTAACAAAACTTTCGTTTCTTGTAACGAAAAATCCGTACCTGGACGAAAAGTAAGTAAAGAGCGTGTAACCATACTACCATGTGCTAACGCTGCAGGCACACACGTGCTTAAGATGATGGTCATTGGGAAATCTAATAAACCAGGGCATTCAAAAACATTGATTTACCTGTCTACTATTACGAACAAAAAAGTGCATGGATGACAAAAGATCTTTTCAAAAAGTGGTTTGATGAATGCTTCGTACCTGAAGTTAGAAAATGGTTAAAAGATCATAATTTTCCCCAAAATGCGTTGTTGCTTCTTGATAACACTCCCGGTCATCCGTCTGAAGAAGAACTAACAACTGAGGATAAATGCATCACTGCGATGTTTCTTCCGCCAAATTGCACTGCACTGATTCAACCAATGGACCAGAATATCATTCAGTTTGTCAAGCAAGACTATAAGATCTGAGAGCCGTATCAAAAGACCAACCAATAGAAAAAGCTTTAAAAGAATTTAATATGAAAGACTTGGTTTTTGCTCATTGTCAGTCGTGGAATGCGTTACCGTCATCAACTATTAAATCGTCTTGGAAAAAGTTATGGCCAGATATAGTCATCACTCCTAGCAACGTTCCACAAATCAGTGTTACTTCGGAAGTTATAGAAGAAGTCGCTACTGAAGCAGATAAGTCCGGAAGATTGGGAAATCTGGTGCAGTGGAATGGATAAAGAGGAAAATGTTTTTCATGAAATGTCTGACGAAGAGATTATAAAAGAAGTTTTTTATACAACAAACAATCAGGAAAATAACGACGACGTGATTGCAACTGCTCCACAAGTCACAGCACAAGACGCAATTAACGCCTTTGAGCTAGGTTTACAATGGGCTGAAGAGAATGGTACGTCCTGCAACGAACTTTTACTTTTGAGAAGACTGAGGGACCAAGCTCTGATCTCGCGTTATAACAACCTTAAATAAAAAAAAATTGATGAATATTTCCAAGCTTCATAATTTGATAAATTCATTAATTATTTTGATTAATAATTCCTGATTATTTTGGTACATATGTATGTGCATTTACGCTTAATTTTATAATAAAACGTAAGCTCTCTATTGTTATTAATTTACTAAATTCGACATATATAAACTATGTATGATTTGTACTTCAAAGTACATACATATGCATAACATATATAATCTTACCATTGGATATGTAATTTGTCGGATTACAAGGTACTCTTTTGTAAAAAATTCCGGACTATAGGGGGTCTTGGGCAGTGCTCTATAATCCGACAAATTCGATAGTCCGACACTGCCCTGCAAAATGTTTGTCGGATTACCGGAGGTCCACTGTATTTGGGTGGGTATCAGGTACTGCGATGATTATCACTCAGCTATCATTGGTTAACTAATATAGTAACTTGTTTTGGTAATTTTTTTATTAGATACTTACAAAAACTGCCATGTTGGGAACAGTGACTTGATCACTCTGCTTTCCTTTGGACAAGTCAGGACGAAATTCGTAGTTCCTCTTGACTCTATAAGACACCTTATCCTCATGAAACTCTATGTCCACTTTTTCACTAGATTCTCTGCAAAAGATAAATTAAATATAGCTGACTGATGTATCATTAACATAGACGCTTTGTCAGAATATCTTTACACAATCCAAAAATAAACAGCAACACAAAATTCTTTAATCGGAATCTTGAATATTGATGCTCTGTAATGGTATAAATCGAAAAAAATAATCTTAGCGGTAGATTTAAATACAATAATACTGTTGAATAAACAGACAAAATCAAAGGTGAAGAGATGAAAAGGACTTTTGTGAAATAAGATGTAACTTGAAGACTTTTGACCTGTTACCGTATACTTCATTAATTTTCACATTGATAGAAATAACATATTAATTCCATTGCTCTGTTCCAATGAAGCCTATGGTACAGTACACAAACAGCGGCAGAGGTCATTAAAAAAAACAATATTTACAGCTTAAGGTACTTACTCGTACACATAGGGCCCAAGCTCCTCCACGTTTAGCTTTTTATCTAAACCAACCATAAAATCTTCTACATTCGTATAATTGAAGATGTGAATCTTATATAACGGTTTTGGAGTAGGCTTTTTCCACATAGAATATCCATCAGACATATTTGATATCACCAGTTGCTGAAAAATTACAATATGTATAAATACAGGGTGGCCCATAAGTCCTTTGAGCTGGAAAAAAAGGAATAAAACCAAACTAGTTACATTATGAAGAATTATTATATTTTGTCATCATCTTTATTGAATGGGAATTATGTTTTAAAAATCACATCGTCTAAATGCAATCCATTACGATCACGGCACTCATATAAACGACGTCTAAAATTGTCGATGACTGCGCGGCAAGTCAACACTGTAATGCTTGCCATTTCTCTTCGGATATTTTCTTTCAGGAAATCAACTGATCGCGGAGTGGTGTCGTACACTTTACTCTTGAGGTAGCCCCATAAAAAGAAGTCCATTGGGGTCAAATCTGGACTACGTGGTGGCCAGGAAATGTCTCCTCTTCGAGAAATTACTTTGCTGGGAAGAAGTTGACAGACGACGGGCATAGAAGTGTTGGAGGTGTGGGCAGTTGCTCCGTCCTGTTGAAACCAGGTCTGCGTATTATAGCCTGGAAAATTCTGCAACGCTGGTGTCAAAAGCTCTTCTATCATTGCTACATACCGCTCCGAAGTAACAGTTAATGCGCGACCCTCTGTCGTCCTCAAAAAAATAAGGGCCTACGATGCCATGCGCTGACATAGCAGCCCAAACTGTAACTTTAGGGCTGTGTAAGGGCTTCTGATGCTTACGCCTTGGATTTTCGGGGCTCCAATAACGGCAATTTTGTTTATTTACATGCCCGTTGAAATGGAAGTGAGCCTCGTCCGAGAACAACACATTATTGAGCGAAGAAAATCGATTCAACATTTCATTCGCAAAGTTTAGTCTCTGAATAGCGTCATTATCTTTAATTCCTGCACTAACTGAATGTTGTAAGCGTGCAGACGTAAATCTTTCCTTAAAATCCGCTGTAAAGATGTTCTGGGTACGTTTAGTGCACTGGAACGCTTACGAGTAGACTGGGTAGGATTTTGACGAACAGACTGTGCCACAATGTTGATGTTTTCTTCAATACGAGTTGTCCTTGGTCGACCCCACCGCTGTTTATCTAACGTCGAATCAGTCTCTTCGAACTTAGCAACCCAGTTCTTAATCGTTTGAGCTGTTGGACACTTTGTAAAATTGTGTAAATTGTGGTATTCTCGATATTTACGCCGCGCAATGGTTGCCGAATCATTATTTTGATAAAACGCGCGCACACAAAAAGAATGATCCTCTCCAGTGAAACACTCCATGGCGACTGAATTCCCAGACACTGAAGATACTGCCCCCACCTCGCCCGCGCTGCTCACGCTCACCCGTTAAATTTTATTCAAATTTGAAAAATAATGACACACAATCATGCTAAAAATAATACCGAATTGGCTGTTTATTTTAACGTCCATGATATGACACCCTTTTTTCTGAGATGCAGTTATATTTCCGAAACAACTAACATTCTATCGAAATAAGACACCACATAGTGCCATCTATTACCAGAATCAATCACTGCGAAAGTAGCGAGTAGCTGACAATGCGAACTGGGATAAAGTTTAAATACGCAATGGTCGATTCTGGTGATAGATAGTAGGCGGTAATGTTTTACCATCGCCACCCCGTTCGCCGGATTTAAATCCCATCGAATATGTGTGGGGTATGATGGAGAGGAGACTATCCACCACAGACTCTGCCACATCTAATCCACGAAGTTTGAATTGCTTGGAATGAGGTGCCGCAACCAGACATCGATCATCCCATTTTGTCGATACCTAGACGTATACAGAGGCGTATCCAGCTGCGGGGTCTCCCGTTACGTTATTTTTTTTTCTCTTTCTTATCAATAAAATTTCGGAAGAATGCTATCGTTTCATTCTTGATGTAAGACTACCTCGTTGCCAAAAAATCAAGTTGATGAAATTCTATTTTTTCTAATGACACTCGTCAAGGAGATATTTAAAAGTATGTGGTATCAGAAACTTTATGCTATGCTATTTTTAGATGCTCTAGAAATATCGTCGCTTTTGAAATTACCCTATATATCCAAATGCGTAAATATAGTGTAAAAGTGTGATTCAATATTTATTCAGGTCATCCGTCTGTTTTCATGCGTACAATTATAGGAAATACTTACAGATAATGCGTAGTTATCGAATACGTCTGTGAACCACATTACCAGGAAGCCGTAGAAACTGAGCAGTGTGAAAAGGCATAGACCCGCTGCATCTGGAAAGAAAGATAATATTAGCTCTAAATGTACTATGTGTATAGCGCAGCTAGGTTATTCATCGAACAATGAAATTTTTGCAGATAGCAATTACGCACAAAAATTCAAACTTATTTTCACTCCTTCATTGCAATTGCTTTCAGCACCACGATTAGTGTTCATTCGATGTTGAAAAATTCAGCACACCCTCCACAAATATTCCTAATTCAATCAATGCCGCGACGACTTATCGAAAGTACAGCGAACAGAGGAGCTGCAACACATTATTACCATTAAGTCGTCAAACAAATGAATATTGCAGTGTTTAACAACCTTTTCAATATCGGAGATTTATAAAATAAAAAGATGTGGCCCAAGAACCGACCCTCGAGGCACTCTCGATGACATTCTCGATAATCTGATGCCTCGTAACAAGATCACATAAGTCTCCAACATCACAAATCGCATATGTTCGAGCCAATCAGGGATAAAGGCAGGGAGACATGACGATTGAAAGCTGTCTACAATGACGTGCTTTACCTAAAATTTATTCTTGTAGATAAACTGTATCGGCATTACTTAATAAGTAAGTTACTATCATGAACATATCTAAATTTAGCATCTGTTCGCTTTTGCCGACGTTCAAATGATAACCTTTTGCCCCAGACAGTCACGCCACTACTACAAGAGGACGTCAATATATATATACACGATTTAAATTAAGCTTAAGCATCATGAGCTTTTCAAACACCAGAACGTTATTCCTTGTCCATTTGCTCTATGGCACTTTCGATTTTCTCTTGCTAGTCTACGTCTGATAGTTGGGGCATTCTTTTCTTTTCTGTGCTATTCCATTACTCCACCAATATTCTGCTTCCGCTACTTAACCACGTTGGTAAGCCATGCCCAAGGGGTTGTCACATGCTGTTATGGCTACGTTCTCCAGCAGTTGAACTTTGTTTTTGTTATCATCCAGTGTTCCATAGGGGTAATTGCAGATTTCGGGGAATGCTTTTAATTTAGCTCCATTTATCTTCTATCTGCGGGTCTTATGTGGCCAAGAAGTGTGGGTTGTTCATTTCCTCAGGAACCGGAATCTTAAGAATCTCAAATTTGGTACACAGCTATGCTGAATACCCAAAAAGGATGTATGGGTCTATTTATTAGAGTCAGTCCACTTGACGCTATTGTTTAGATACTAAACTGAATCCAAATTCAAGATGAGATGTAAATAATAACAGTTAACGCGTGATCTTTCGGTAACAGGTGGGTACAACGTCTCTTATTGGTCAATTCGCCATTAAATTTCAAGCGGTCGCCTGGCGGAATAATGCGCGGGGCAGGGGCAGGGCGGGCAGAGTTGTATTCAGGCCACCGACCGTCGCGTGTATCACTGCGTGCTCCTGTTTTCGTATTCACCTTGCATGGTTGTTGCTGTTGTTGTTGTTAAGTGTATTTGAGTAATTTGTTAAGTTTCTGTTTGTTATTGTTATTCCTCGTTATTATTTGTTTTGAACCAATCCTGAACATGTCCAGTACAGATACTGCTGACGAGGCTGTAGGCTACTTCCTTAGCCCTCCTAGAAAGCGATCAAAAAAAAGACATCTTAGCGTAGACATGAAAGACGTCATATTGAATACATTCAAGATAGAGCGGAAGGAAGACGAAACATCAACTAACCCGAAAATAGCACTGGAAGTGGCAGATAAAATTGGGGTATGCCAAGTGACAGTGTACAATGTTTTGAACGAACATAAGAAAACGCATGCCTTTTCCAAGCCAATGACGGGTAAAAATTGCAAAAGTATCATAAGATCGTTGGATGACGCTGACAAGCATGCGATTCGGAGGAAAGTGCACGAGTTCTTCTTCAGAAACGAAATACCGACAGTTGATAAAGTACTACGGGAGGTTAACGAGGATGCTATGTTACCAAATTTCAACGTTCGACTATTCATAAACTTTTGAAGCATCCTAATTTCGAATGGAAGAAACGAGGTCGTAACAGCTTACTTATGAATAGAGAAGAAATTGTTCTGTGGAGGAGAGAGTACCTGACCAAAATTAAATCATTCAGGGATCAGCACAGGAAGATCTATTACCTGGACGAAACCTGGATTAACGCTGGGCACACTACTCCGAAGGTATGGGTTGCCAAAACTGTGACTTCATCCAGAAGGGCATTTCTAGATGGACTGTCGACCGGATTGAAAAATCCAGCAGCTAAATAGATCGAAGTAGTTCACGGTATCAATTTTTGCGCACAACATATCTCTATCTTCGTACCTACAAGACGTGCATGTGTACTTAGCGGATTTTATCTTTCTAGGCAAAGGAAAACGGCTCATTATTTGCCACATTGGGGGTGTAGATGGCTTCGTGGATGACGGCTTATGGTCTTCTGAGTCAAAAAAACCACTGACTACCATGAAGAGATGAATGGGGAAGCATTCGAGAAGTGGTATTCAGGCATTTTACCACGTCTCGAAGACAATTCTGTGGTTGTTTTGGATGATGCTCCCTATCATTCTCGCAAAATAGAAAAAATGCCAACTTCAGCTTCTAGGAAATCAGACATTCAGAGCTGGCTCCGTTCCAAAAATATAACTTTCGACCCTTCCTTACTGAAATTACAACTATTAGATATTGTGAAACAACACACACCAAGACATGATAAATATGTCATAGATGAAATGGTCAAAGCACACAACAAAACAGTACTCCGTTTGCCGCCAAGTGAGCTCAACCCCAATGAACTCATATGGGCAGATGTTAAGAATGTTGTTGCTGCACACAATACAACATTTAAATTTTCTGACATGCAAGAGCTGTTCAGAATTGCTATACAGAGGGTCACACCAGAAAGATGGCAAAAATGTGTGCAGCATGTTCAGGAGAAAGTGGAGGTAGCAATGTGGGAGCTGGACAACATAATTGAGAGAGATTTTGAATCCGTCATCATGAACCTTAATGACGATAGCTCTTCAAGTGAGTCTGAGTAAGTTTCGCGTTTTTGTTTTGTCACAGAATACATATTACGGGAATCCTAGTTATAGTGAAATATTCACTTACAGATAAACTACAGACAATGCAAGTCCGAAGTGCGCCTTCAAAATCTATTTTCAATTGATTGAACAACCTTATATTTATTCCATGTACAAAAGCGTCAACTCTACCCCTCGTTGACTACGGATTCATTGTGCATAGTGAGCAGCTGGTTACCTCTGGTATGTATTTCTCCATGTTGTCTAGTTTGAAAAATCTGTAGAAAAACTTAGCACCCCTTCAAGAATAAAAATTTGATTTTGCGACACCCTTAACTATAACTACTTCATTATATTAGATAATTTCGTTAAATACTGTCATCTTTGTTTTACAACACGTTGGTGGTAGTCCATCATTCGGAGGTAGCCCTGAATGCGGCCCTGTACGCCGTCCTTACTTTTGGTAATCACGCATCCATTCTATCTTCGGTGTAAATACACTATAGATGTTAAGTTTTTGTGTATCCAAAATTCTTAACTATGTATGCCTGAAGGACTTGGCTTCCGGGCATGTGTAACTATAGACAGTAGAGACAGCTGATAAATATGGTAACCGCAGACGAGGCAGAAGTATAAAATGGTCGATGGTACGACACGATAATTAAATGTGATCCTTTAAGAAGTGAAACAACCTATTAAATTTTAATTTTGCCATGAAAGATAATATAAAACAAACAGCAGTACGCTATATATCAGTTATGTATCATTAAATGGATGACTTTGCACACACACATATACAACTGTAAACAAGAACCAAAAAAACAGCTAAAGTTTACTAAGAAGAAGTATAAAAACAAATAAAGCACATGAAATAACGATAAAGATATTTTAATTACAATTAAAAAAATCTTTAGATCTATTATATATTATTTTTGTCGACAATTCAAAACTAATATCAAATGTCAAACAACAATCCTGGGAACAATTATACTCTATAAATAATATAGACAAAGCAATGGGACTGTTCATAGAGAAAATAAAAAACTAATAGATATTAGTACCAATAAAGTAATAATTAGTCACAAAGAGAAAAGCAGAAATGCCTGGATTACCAAAGGATTAATAACATCGGCAATAGAAAAAGAAAGACTATATAATGTAATGAAACTAACGCCAACTACAGAGAATACCGACTGCTACAACCAATATAAAAATAAATTTATAGAGCTTGTAAGGCAAACCAAACGAAAACATTACCTAAATAAATTGAATAATAACTTAAATGATCCTAAGCGGCTTTGGACAACTATTGATGAGATTACTGGGAAAACAAAAGTTAAAGAGTGTGTCACTGAGTTAAATTCAACATCGGGAACAGTATTAAAAAATACTCAACAGATATGCGATGAATTTGTACAATTCTTTACTGACATAGGCGAAAATTTAGCAAGTAATATACAAGCAAATGTACAAAATACTCAGCCTCCAAAAGAACTTTGAACTCATTTATTTTGGATAATGTCGAGCAATGTGAAGTATACACCACTGTTATGTCCTTAAAAAATCGGAAAAGTCCTGGGTTCGATGGTATTAAAAGCGAGCATTTGAAAATAATAGCCGAGGACATAACAGAACCACTCACTTACCTAATCAACAAATGCTTTGAATCTGGCATATATCCCCCAATTTTAAAAAAAGGTAATATAATACCGATACATAAATCAGGAACAAAAACAGATGTTAACAACTATAGACCAATATCAATAATATCCAGTGTAGCAAAGGTTTTTGAAAAAGTTTTATCTACTAGAATGATTCGATACCTCACAAAATTCAAAATTTTAAGTGAAAATCAATATGGATTTACAGAAGGGAAGGCTACATCGGACGCAATAACTAAAATTGTAAATCAAATATATCAAAATATTGATAACAGAATCCCTTCAATCTGCATTTTTGTTGATTTAAAGAAAGCTTTCGACACAGTTAATCACAAATTATTATTAGAAGCATTGGAGAGAATTGGTTTCAGAGG